AATTAAAGGGTAAAAGACCAGGCATTGTAAAGTTTCCAAGCTGCAAGGTCTGAGTTAAAATGTAAAGGATTAGGTATTGTTAGGTTTCTATGCTACCTGCAAAACCTGAAATTCCTGTAGCTGTTAGGACAATACTGGAACTGCCCAGTAAATATTCCCACTGACTCCCTGGTTGTCCAATAACTTGGAACTCTGTGTAACTTGTCACATAGTCATTTAGGCCCTAAAACCAATCAGTTTGAATGTGTACCCCGTTTAGAACTGACCTATCACCCCCGCCCGACCTGTTCCCACCAATGAATGAACTAATCATGTTTAGGAGTTGTTGTTCAATTTTCCTGCGCCTCATGATGATTTGTTCTGATGTATACAAAGCCCTCCGCCCTCCCCAAAAAATGTACTTAAGCAGTGCTCAGCCCCTGCTATGGGCTCTGGGCTGCTTTCCCTTCTTGAGTGGGCACAGAGCCCCAGCATGCTGGTTCAATAAATCCCCTTCTGCCAATTGCATGAGTGGTCTCTTTCTCCAATGCTTCGCTGGACCCTTACACTATGATCCTTCCTTCTCAGCTGTATCCCAGAGCATAGCATATATACTGGGTCAATCAAGAATCCAATAAGTATTTTACGTTAATTAATTAACCCACTTACTTCTAAAATGGAAATTAATAAAAATAATTATTTGCAAAATTTAAAATACCACTTGTAATTACTGGTTTTATACCAGAGAATCACAAAAACAGAATTACCAAAGATTTCACAAGAGTTTCAATGGGTTTTTTTGTAAGACTTCTGTAAACATTTTAATGTAATCAGTTAATTGGTCTGCATGAAGTCTCTTCAAGAAGGCATTTGTCAATGGATGCTAAGTTCTTTTATTGCAAAAGTCACAAGTCAAAGAATAGCTGAAAATGGGACTCTAATCTATGCAAATGAGGACAATAGCTATATTGGAAAAACAATAGATAACTTCTTTTACTTGATCATTGTGTTGTTTTAAAGTAAGGGAGTTTTATATTTTGTGTTCAATTGAAAGGCACAGACATATGTCAACTTAAAAACAACTATTAAATTTTTCTATCAGTTTTTTTCTTTGATGCTTCCTAAAATCTTCACTAATTTAGTTAAATGTCATCTTTAAAATTAAGATTCTTTTAGTCTTTACCAGATTTGTCCTTTTAAATTATCTGTCATTCAACATTAGAAAGTTTGCTGTTTTTAAATTATCACTAATTATTTTCCTTTATATTCCCCAGAATAAGCTGACACTCAAAAACCAGCAGTGAGTCCTTCTCAGATCTAGACTGCACACTAATTAGCTGTGCTTTATAAAAATAAGTATCTGTATGTATGAGGTTATTGTAGAGTGTTTTTTATCAACGCTCTCCCCATATAAGAGAACAAATGAGGGACTAAGATCAATAAAATTAATATTTGTGTAGAGTTCAAAACTTGTAAAGTCTCATGGGAGTGTGGTATAGCCATTTTGTAAAGGAGGTATTGCTATTTCATTTCTTACAGTGCTGTTATAAAATAGTATAGACTTATCTGGGAGAAGACCAGTCATGTGCTCAGTATATATTTGCAGCAATGTTTCTGTTTCAATGTCAAACCCTTTAGAAAAGGTATTTTTCCAAGAAAACATAGACTACTCTGTTAAGTAAAAAGCTTTAAAACATTTAGTTGTAAACCATGGTTTGCAAGACCCAATGTCACAAGATGAGTGCAAAAAATTTAGGCTAGGTATAAGCTGGTAGATGATGGGTTCCATAGCAATTAGTGTACTCCTGCTTAAAGCTTTGAATACTTTAAAAATATTTAAACTCCTTGGGCCAAACAAAACATATCTGAATAAGAACTCAACCTTTGCTCCATACCAGCAGAAGTAGTATGTGGAAGAAGAAATAAAACAGAACACAGAAGCATGTGGAGATGAGATGAAAAATGGTTTATGGATTAGAGGAATCAAAATTGTAGGACCGAAATACAAATAGCCAAATTTGTAAATATTATTGATGCCCATCCAAGATCAACAGACTTCTATTTCTCTCTTTGGACGTAGTTTCATTGTTGTAGTTAAAATATAGTACAGTACTATCTTTAATCAGTTTCCTTATCTGTAAAATGGAGATAATAACACTGTAGCACAGAATTGCTGTGAAATTAAATGAGAACATGACAAAATCTTAGTGGAGTTCTCTTCGTGTTGTAAAAGCTATAAATGGTAGGTATCATTGCTATTCTCATAATCATTGAAAAGAATTATTCCCTTACTCATTCCTTCAATTTTCCTTTAGTATATACTGAAGATCAAAATTAACTTTACCTACTGTATAATACGCCTCAGAGAGGCTTTTCTTGCCAGGGAAAAATCAAATAATATCAATAATCGCAAATGCAAATACAGATGTGTTCTTTTTTCTATAGGTTTATCAGTAATCTTAAACAGTTTCTTTCCTTAAAAATTATAAATGGCATTGAGTAAGTTACTCAGATTTTGTCTAAAAGTAGCCATACTTGTATCGACTAGGCCATTTCTTCCTAAAATGTCATTCTTAAAGTATTCAAAGCCTTTGTTTTAGCTAAAAATACATTGATTGAGCATCTACTATGTGTGGACACTATGCTCAGTTCTGGAAATGTGGGATGAAGATAAAAAGGTCTCTGACTTCAAGTTCTGCCTTGTCTGGAGCACTGGGGAGATAAAAATATTAGCAAATCATGTCAATAGAAAGGCAAACCAGTGTCTGAGTTCCATACACTCTGACATGCATATTTCCCTCTCCTATTTTCAGTGAGACTCCCTAAATACTCTGAAAAACAAGGGTGAATGAATATAGTAGGAACAGACTGAGGCAAGAATCATGCCCATTCTTCAACCTCTGGTTTTAGCTCCAAGACCACCAGGAAGCATTCCACTCTACTTTGATTTTTTTACTGACTTGCAATCCCTTTAAATTTTCTGTTTCAAAGTTGCTATTTAAAAATAGCTTTTAAATCATTTTGGCCCTTAATCATTTTGATTCAGTTGCTTCTTGGGTATATGACCTATCTACCCATTAAATGGTAGTAAACCAACCCTTGGAGGGGCAGGATCCATGTTTTTTTTGTACCTGCATTAATCTGGAAAACTGAATGTTTTATTGTTGTTATAGTTTAAAGATTGGTAAAAAATAGTGCACAAATAATTGATGCACTAGTTGGGACAATACATTGAAGGTATCTATTTTTTCATAAATTTTGAGGAATTTTTATGCAATTCAAACATTTATGTTAGAGGAGCAAAAATGGTAAATGTAAACCTGTATCTGTTATATATAGTAAATATTTTATATTCACTTTTAGTCAACATTTATACTTTTTAGTTCTGCTATATAACTGATGGCAAAAACTTGCACTTACAAGGCAACAGAATGTACACTTAATTGTCCTACAAATGAAGAGTTATAGCTAGAGAAAACTTTCAGTCATCACTCATTTGTTTTAATGCCATTTGCAAAGATGGTTAGGGTGGCAAAGTAATAATCCCTAAACTCAAAATCATCAGTTTGCATTATGTTAATTTATCATCTAAATCTGTTTCCTAAATACTGTTAGCAAAACTCAAAGAAAATAATTATGCTTATTAACATCATATTTGTTTGTAAAAAGAGGTAAAAAAAACCTATAGTTAGGCTGGGGTTGTGGCTCAGCAGTAGAGCACTCGCATAGCACATGTGAGGTGCTGGGTTCGATCCTCAGCACCACGTAAAAATAAATGAATAAAATAAAGGTATTTGTATCCAATAACTATATATATATATATATATATATATATATATATATATATATATATATATATATATATATATATTAAAGAACCTATGGTTAACAGTGAAGAAATTACTTTTATTTGAAAATCACTAAATAATTATAAACAAGTCCCATATTATTTACTTCCAAGATTCTACCACTCTCATGTCTGATTTAATTTTCTACTTTCATTTATACTTGCCACTAGAGAAATTCTGCTTTTCATTGCTTATCACAGAATACTGCAGTAACTTCCTTAGCATGTTCTAGACTTTACCTTCAAGGTTATATTTTGCCATAGGTTAATTACTATTTCTATAATGTAGCCTCAGATTTGTGATTTCCAGCTCAAATATCCTTAGTGCCTACTTTTGCTAAAAGAACAATGTCTAAACCCTAGTCCAGCCCACACTGATTTCTGTGCTCTTGTTTTACTTTTCCATATTTCTTTCCTAATTGTCTCTTCATACATTATATACATAATAAAAACACATGTTTTGTACTAAGATGAAGTTATTCATAGTTCCTATGTATGCCTTTACTTTTCTAATCTCAATCTATTTTATAAATGTCTCCTGTGAACCTAGGATCCTTTTTCAAATTCTATTCATCCCTTACGACCAAGGTCACATGTCACTTATTCCATGGAGCTGACACTGAACTCCTCAGAAGTAAGTAACATTCTTTGTTCTGAAATTTTATAGAAAATTTCACTCTCTATTTTATGGAACTTGTTATTTGGTACTTAAAATATATTTAGGTGAATATTTGTTTCCTCTTAGAATGTGAAGGATCCTTAAAAGTAGATTCTGGTGCAGTTTCCCTTTGTAAGTTCTACTGTGCCCGGTATAAAGGCTTTAAACATAATAGATGTCCAAATAGTTTTTGAGTAGAGTGATTCATTAATATTTAGTAGCTTCAGAACTGTGAGGTTTGTATAAAAGACTATATAAAGGACTCATATGAACCTTACTGATAATCATTAAAGCAAAGTTATTTTGTGGAATAATATGCCTTATTTCATAAACTGCATCAGTGGTTTTCCAGCTCTTCTCTACAGTACCTTTGGGATTCTACAGACATGACCCAGGGCACTTCCTACTTAAAAGGGGAGGTGCCACACTTTGTATATTGGCCTTTTGTGTAAGACTTTGCTTGGAGAAAGGATTCATTATTTAAGAAAACTTTTTTTTAGAGAGAGAGAGAGAGAGAGAGAGAGAGAGAGAGAATATTTAATATTTATTTTTTAATTTTTCGGCAGACACAGCATCTTTGTTTTGTATGTGGTGCTGGGGATCGAACCTGAGCCGCACACATGCCAGGTGAGCGCGCTACAGCTTGAGCCACATCCCCAGCCCAAGAAAACTTTTTGAAATCCCCTGAGTTTCCACCATGGGGGCACTTTGATTCTACCTTTGTTTCAAGTCTCTATTTCTCATGAAAGCCTCTTCACATGAAAACTAGGTAAACAACCTGCTCTAGTTTGGCTGAATTCACTAATTCCAAAATACCAAAATAGTAGCACAAAGTATTACTTCAAATAGGGTCCTCCTCTAACAAGTGACTTTGTATGAGACAGTCTTTAGGAGTCAATGAGCTTAATTCTTGATCTGATCTTCCTTACCTGGAAAGTACAATCATGTGTTTGCTTAAGAATGAGGATATGTTCTGAGAAATGGATTTTTAGGGGTGATTTTGTCATTGGGCAAACATCACAGAGTGTACTTATATGAACCTAGATGATATAAGTCAATCACTAAATATGGTCTCTTGATGCATGAGATGCAGTAAACATGAGATATATGAGGTCTGCTCCAGCATAACATGCCATATTGTTTTACAGTAATTTTTTTAATAAGTCAAAGTGGTAGTTTAAAATTATAATAAAAAGTATAATACCAATATTTAAACCAGGAATGTAGTTGCTAAATTATCATTATCAAAATGATAATTGTGCTATACTTGTGCTATGCTTTTTTATACTTGCAATATTATAGGTTTTTCACATCAGTACTGCCACAAACCTGAGTAACATGGTGCACCACTTTACCATGGCTGCAATGTCACTGAGTTATAATAATTTTTCAGCTCCATTATAATTTTATGGGACCTTGGCTCCACTCTCATGAATACACTGTCATGAGGCACATGATTATAGTTTGTTGGCACATCTCACAAGCAGCACTCTTTCTGGAAATTCTTTCTAGATTTGGAAGATGCCTGAGAAGCACTTTTATATAGCCTTCTATTTTGGTAAAAGACAAAACTTTCTATTGCCTAGGCTTATGATAGCCCAATTCCTTGTTCACAGAGTAGGGAGAAAATACTCATCTGCAGTAAATCTAAAATGTATCTTTATTGAATCTATCTTAGGCTACTAGTCAGTCAGACAATTCTAAGTTCATTATTAGGAAAAAAAAAATACCTGTTCAAGTCACGGTGTATAATTGGCTGTGTCAGGTTGTGAAGGTATTCCATACCTTTGGCAACATCTACTGCAATAATTAATTTAGACTGCAAATCAAGAATCCTAAAATTTAAAAACAGATTCAGTGGAAGGAAAAAAAGTCAAAACCAATGCCATATCTTTTAAAAGAAATCAAGGTATATATGTTTTGTTTTGTTCTGTGTAATTTTAGTCTATTTTTAATTAATTGAAGGTTATATGAAAAAGTTTAACAAATCTTTCTACCTCAGAAAATGCTTAATTATAGGTCAACTCGGGTATACAATACGTTTCATTTAAAATATTGTACTTGATTTTCTAATTTATTTGCAATATATTTAAATTATTTGTAATAATGTTAAGATCTATTTTTAATAACTGTACAAAACCACATTCTAATTACTGTATGTATAGATCTAGGAAATAAATTCAAATTAGGCTTGTGCAAGATCATTTCTTTTTAAAACTTCCTTATATGGTGATCTTGGTAATTATTTTCTTCTGAGTTTACATATATCTGCTTTATTGGTATGTCAAATAGCGTAATAATGTTTCAGTTGCCAATTTAAATTCCTTGAATTTGTTACCTTCAACTGAATTCCTATTAATAAGTCACAGAAATATTTCTATTCCTTGAAATACAATAATTAGTCATAAATTATTAGCCATATTTAATGCACACTCACTAGTATTCAGAGGTTTCCAAAGGTGAAGGTTCATGCAATCAGAAAGCCTCAGAAATGCCTCAGGAAAATTTCAATGCCATGTTGAATGCCATTTTCAAGTATAAGGCAGAACAAGAGACTCATACCTCTTTTGCTCATGAAGGAGGGAAAACAGAGAACCTCCTGATATGTACTGAGTGACGATGGCAAATTGGCTGGGATCATTCAAGCAAGCACCCACAAAGTGAATTACACAGGGATGATTGAGCTGGCAGAGAATAGACACCTCTCTGCAAAACATATCCACATCTGATTTGGAGCAGTAAGTGTTGGCCCGATAACTAGAAATGGCAGCAAGAGGAAATTCTCATCAATTAATGAATCCAACAAGAGGTTTGCTGTGTATATAGTTGTCAAAGCTCACTACTCTACCTAGATGGTAATTTTTTTCATTTGCTTACTGTTTTATAGCCACTATTTTATTTCTGCATCGTCCTTTATATACTTTCCCAAAAGATCCTAAAATTGTTTAAAATAAATAAATAAGTACATATTATCTTGAGCTCATTTTAATTAAAGTAGAACTATAGTTTCTTAGGTTACCTGAGCCAATAATCTCATGGAACTCAATTTCTGAGAGTTGAAGATGGAAATGTGAAGGCAATCCAGCCCTTAGGAGGAGAACATCAGCTTTCTCTGCAAACAGAAATTGTCATTATACTTTTTAAGATTTAAAAGCACACATGTGAATATGTACTACACACACACACACACACACACACAGGATATGGCATCCCTGGGGTACAGTTTATATAACATTGTGATAAAGTTCTTATCTCGTCAATCCTTTCAACCCGCTATCAATAGGTTAAGTTAAATATCAATAAACTAAAACTCAAAAGGATGCAAATTAAATGACAGAAAACAAGCACTTCAAGTATCTAAAGAAATATCCAAAACTAAAAAATATTTTTAAAAGACCGCATATTCCAAATAGTTAAATATAAATTTATAATGTAATAATATTTTATACCCTTCTGGTCCAGTGGAATTAATTTTGGTTTATAGCAAACATTCAAAAAAAGTTCCCAAATTATTACTTATTTTTGGAAAAGAATTATGCTTTTGCTAATTTTTCCCTAAGGTACATCCATTCCCAATTCTTCTAAAATAAATATTAGTATTTGTTATTTATATTTTATTAAAAAATACAAATATTCACAAAGTATTATGAGAATTGATGCACTTTAAAACTCATAAAATGTTCTCTGTTATATCTTAATGAACTGAAAAGGCATAAAAGATAAGGTTAATTATGAGAAGGATGATCTGTTGATAATATTTCTTATGCTTATAAAATAGTCATTATTCATAATATGTTAAACAAACTAGAATGTTATCATATTTAGGCAATAATTATCCTGAGTAATAAAATATAAGAGTTTTCCTATTTACAAGTACCTTTTGTCATGCTTTTAATCTTCCCCAATAGGGATGGAACAGACACATAGGAGCCATCTAGAAATCAAATTATATAATAGAGTTGAAAGTAGCAATCATTTTTTTCTACATAAAAGTTCAACATTATAAAAAGAAACAGGTGATGAAACCAAGAAAAACTATAGCCTAAGGCCCAAATCTATTCTCTGGATACTGAAACTGTATTACAAGTGTTTATTTAGAAAGCACATAAAAAGATTAAAAAGAAATCCAATTTGTAGCAGACTCCAGCAGATTTAATTTGTGTCTGGCTATGAGTATTCTCTGCCCTGCCATAATAGGTAGCTGAAATGGAAAATGATCCTTCTCAGCTTACCCAGGCCTTACTACTCTTGTCCAAGCCTCATATACATCCAGTCCAGGTAAACTTGGAGAAACTGTGGATTAATGAGAGTTAGAAAAAAGCCTAAATGGAAACTGCTGCTTCTTCTTCCTTTTTTTTTCTTTTTAAAATTTGCTCTAATTAATTATACATGACCGCAGAATGCACTTCAATTCATTGTACATAAATTGAGAACAATTTTTCATTTCTCTGGTTGTATACAAAGTAGAGTCACACCATTAGCACAAACATACATGTATGTAGGGTAATAATGTCCATCTCATTCCTCTATCTTTCCTAGCCCCATACCACCTCCCCACCCTTCTCCCCTTTGCCTTATTCAAAGTTTCAAATGGAAGCTTCTTTAAATTCATTCTCACATAGACAATTTTTTTTTCTGAAAATAAGGTTAATCTGACAAAGTCTATGCTCTCCCACTATCCCCAGAATGATAATAATAGAAACACAGGTTTGCCTTTAGGCACGGTTTGTACAGCAATGAAACGTGAATAAAAATGATGGTACCTCCTCCAGGCTGAGAATATTTATTGCAGGGCAGTTCATCCTGGGGTCTCTTATAATGCTTCAGGAGTGTGACAATGGCATCATGGCCTTAATGAAAAGAAAAAAGAACAAAGAATCTTAATTTCAGCTTGATTTATTCATTAAACCACTGGTCCAAAAAATGATTGGAGGTAGCTTAAAAAGAGCACATATCTTAAGGGACAATGTACTGCAACACAAATTTAGTATCTTTATTCATTTATTAAAAATAATTTATTAGGATGACTGTATGTGAGGCACTGTGGTAGGTAAATGATACAATATTATGAGGTAACCATGGTCATAACCATAAGAAGCTTACAATGTAGTTGAACAAATAATTATAGGAATAATGAGAATTTCTAAATGAGGAAATAATAAGTGCTAAGAGAGTATATAATAAAGGCATGGTTAAAAGGGTTCAAAACACATGTGGTAACTATATTTGCTGTGATTGTGCATTACATTTGATTGGCAGTTCCAGTAAAGCACAGTGCTAAAATAAATAACGTGCGTTTCTGTAGTGCAAACAGCTGACTGCCCATAGATTTTGTAGTCCTCTTTTGCAGGGTTATTTTGTCCCTGGGAATGGATGCCTACCCAGGGACAAAATTTCCATCTGACCTTCATATAACTGTGGCCTTGTGACATATCCTCACCAAGGCAGTATAAGCAAAAGTGACATCACTTCCAAATCTGAAATTTAGGTTGCAGTCCATCCTTCTTTACTTCTCCTATCTGCTGGCTGGATGCAGAGAATTCTGAGGTTCTAGGGGTTGAGAGAAAGTCATCTACTGAAGGGAACTGCCCATCCTGGAATGTTAAGAGATTAAGAAACACCACTGACAGTCTGCAGTTTATTAATTGCAGTAGGAACTTATTATTGTGAAAGATAAAAAATGTTAAATGCTCATCTGAGTAAACTATTGATTTTCAATAAAATAAAACTTTGATAGTCCTTTATGTTTTTGCTATAAAAACAATCTACTGAAGCTAAATTATAAAAGAGAAAAACCATCAACCTTAAAGACCTTATCAAAAGACTTATAAAATACAATAGAATCCATTGTAAAAATGGCAGACTTTAGAAATTGGAAAAGCACAGTACTTTGGTCAGCCAATGACTAGCTAATGTGTAAAGTATATGCTGACAGTAGTACTTGCTTATCAAGGACTCCCTTCAAAGATTTTGAATGAATTGTATATGTAACATCATGAGATAGAAAAATTACCACGTTTACTGGCACTAAAAGTTTTCCCAAAGGTAATATCCCAATATCACAATTTTTAAGAAATAAAAAAGTATTGTGATCACAAATGAAAAAAACTTACAGCAAAACTTACATATAAGCTATCTACATAGTTAATAATTCATGTCCATTTTGTTATCATCTTTAGCTTTCTATTCATGACTGATTCTTTTTCTTAAATCATAAACATAGGTAATGCTGAAATAATGGGGACCAGTTGCATGAGCACTGTTTATTTAAATTCTTGTATGTTCATGATCAGGAAAAACTCAAGAACCTGAAAAGCATGAGCTAACAGACAAGTTTCTAAGTGAAGCCTAAATAGGTAGAGATAACAGATAATACAAAAGCCTGAAAAATGAGCAAACTTGCCATGTTCAAGAAATGAAGAAGTCCAGTGTGGTTGCAGTATGACAGGCAAGGATGACAGTGGTATGCCTCTATATGGAGTGGCGCTTTTCAAACTTTTAGGGTGTGTAAGAATCACTTGGAGGGTTAGGCATGTAGCTCAGTAGTAGAGTGCTTGCCCACCTGGTGTGAAGCCCTGGGTTCAGTACCAACCCCCAACCACCCAGTTCTCACCAAAAAAAAAAAAAAAATCCTTAGAATACAAGTTAAAACACAGATTCCTGAGTCCTATCTTCAGAGATTCATTTTGAAAATGTCTGTAGTAGGGTGTGAGTGTTGCTTTTCTAACAAGGTCCTTACTGATGTAGAGATTTATAGGTTAGGGTCATAGCTTGAATTTTGGTATAGATAAGATGGGGAACCACTGAAGGGTTTTAATTGAAATATATATATATAGTCTTGGACACAATACCTTTATTTTGTTTTTTTATTTTTATATGGTGCTGAGGATCAAACCCAGTGCCTCAAATTTGTGAGGCAAGTGCTCTCCTGCTGAGCCACAAACCCTGCCCCTTAAGAATATTTTTTGTCTTACACATTATTTATGTTAGTTTTGGGGGAATAAGGATTGAACCCAGGGGAGCTGTACTACTGAGCTATATCCCCAGACTTCTTTATTTTAAGACAGGGTCTTGCTAAGTTGCTTAAGGCCTCGATAAATTGCTGAGGCTGGCCTTAAACTTGCAATCCTGCATCAGACTCAAAAGTTGTGGGGATTATAGACATGCAACCCCATATCTAGTTTGTCTTACTTTTTAAAAAAAAATCCTAATCTATAGATTAGAAATGATGATGCAGCCTTTAAAGACTATTTTCAAGATGAAGTAGAATAATGCAATCTGCCTTATAGTTCTAACATGTAAATGTGCCTTTGAGATCTTCTCTATTCTTGCCTTACTTTCCCCCACCCCAAGTATTATAAATGAATCACATTAGAACACCAGATACATTTTTCTACATATCAAAGTATTCATTTTCTATTGATGTTTCTGTTAATTACCACAAACTTAGTAACCTCAGTAATAAAAGTTTATTATCTGTTGTTCTGAAGGTCAGAAGTTCAACATGATTCTCCTGGGCTCCAGGTATCAGCAGGGCTGTACTACTTTCTAGAAGTCCAAGAGGAGAATCAATTTCCTTGACTTTTCCAACTTCTAGAGACTCCCATTTCCCTGGCTTGCAGTCCTTTTCCTATGGATTCAAAACCAGCAGTGATTAACTGAGTCCTCTTCATATTACTCTGACTTCTATGTCTGTCTTCCTTTTTCATATTTAAGAACCTCTGTTATTTTAGTAGGCCTATTGGGAAAATCCAGGATAATCTCCTCTAGTAAAGTCAGCATTTTAGCAACCTTATTTCCCCTTTGCATATTATAGGCTCCAAGGAACCTGTAAATCTTTGGGGGTTCACTACTCTGCCTACCACACTCAGTTCAGGGGAAAGTTATGGGCCTTTGCTTGCATGTTAGTGCTACCAGTTGTTCTTATTCTGTTAACTATTTTAACCTCAGCATTAAAGTAACAACACTCACAAAATACCCTTCGGGAATTACAGTGCCCCTCCACTTGTCCCTTGCTAGATTCATGGGTTCTGAGCTTCCTTCTGCCCTGCTCCATTCTGTCTGACTACCACCATGTAGTGCTTTTAGAATCTTTCTTTAACTTAATTTGGTCTTTAAGTGTTCGCAGTTGGAAAAACAAAAACTTTTCTTGTTTTCTGGGAGATGTTCCTTTAGGGGAAAGAAAACAACCCAAACCCCTAGTGTTTATCCAAGCACAACAAAGCTTAATTCACAGAATCCACCTCCCTGCCTGTCTCAGCCCTGTTGTGGAACCGACTCCAGCTGACAGACGAAGGCCTCGTGCTTTCCCCAGTGAAGCAGAAAGCTGCATCCTGAATCCTGAAGGACTATGTGAGTCAGTGATCACACCCTTGATGTTACCTTTCATTTCAACAGCTCTCTTGGCTCCACTTGCTCTGAGCAGTTTTAATTTCCTGCCAGCGCAGTGGCACAATTTGCTGGCATTTTCTTTGGGATGCTTTTCATCAAGAGCCTAATGAGTGCCTGGGTTCTGGCTGATGATAAGCATGTGGCTGCCAGGGAAATGCCAAGAGGCCCCCTCAGCTCTGGAAGGCATCTCTGTCTGATTTCCCACCTCCTGCTAACTGAGGGCTAAGGCACCCTTATATGGAAATGCTCCCCTGCTAGAACTGCTCTAACAAGCCACTAACGTGCATGCAAAGAAACCTGAAAACCATTAAGACCCAGCCCCACAACACTCGGCCACAAGGAGTTAAGCAGAAAAACATCTCGGTGGAGCTCAATAAATGGACTCCTTAAGCCAAACTCCTGATAATGGATACACTCAAATAACCAAGGTACACTAATGGAACACATCCAGAGATAATCAAACTTCCACTAATTAAATAAAATGTTTCCCTATATCTAAGAATTTACTATCTACATCCAAGTATTTTACCCAAATAGGAGGTTGCTATGTTATTAGCCTAATGCAGTTATTATAATGATTTGTGCTTTCAGAGTATTATTCACTGGAGCACCTGGGGGTTTTGGCAAATGTGATTTCCCTGCCAGCATGAAGTCCCTTTCATTTCTTGCTCCCCTCTGTGTAATCCCCAAATTCCATGCTTTCTCTTTAATTTGTCTTCTTGTGTTCCTTTACTGCTTACATTAGGTGTGATTTCTCCTCCCAGACCTCTTAACTTGCAATTTGATGAATAGTTCCTTCCAAATCTAGGTTTTTAAGGTTAAAATTTTGTCCAAAAAGATGCTACAAAGACAATTTAGTATCTACATCATGGTTATGTACACAACAGAGGCTTCATAATTATTTAAGAAGAAGAAGTATGATCTTTATTACTCCTCATGGTTTTCTTCCATCCTCATAATTTTACCCTAGAAATGATGAATGCTGATTATCATCCTTTGCTATGAGAATTATTTTTATATCTAGATCTGGAGATGAATGGCAAATGATATGAATACTAAAATATTCTCTTTGATTTTGTAACTTGGAGGCCCTTTGGGTCCAAGCATAAGTAGAGAAAATGAGATTTGGTCTTGATTATAAAAGCCAGGGAATTATTATTGACCTCATATATTCCAAATTCTAGATAACTGAAGGAGCAACCCCGCCTTACTTTAATTCCAAATCAAAAAACTTTCACTGAAATGACATATGAGATTTTGTCCATTATTTTAATATCTTACTTCCTATAATGTTAAAAACCCATTTCTTCAGAACACTGAAAAGTGGGATCAGAGGATGACTTCTAAAGTCTAACTTCCTATGGCTCATCTTTCTCCTGACAATTCTGGTCCCACACACCATCAATTCCATCAGAGGCAACAGAAATTACTGACTTGCTACATCTCCTCATGACTTAAA